AGCAATGATATTTAAAATGGCTTTTAGTATCAATTCGAAAAATGGCAAAATATTTATGATATAATTCAAATACAGATATAGATTTACAAGAAAAAGTAGAGACAGTTGACTTTATATGGCATAAAAAATGTGACACATAAAAACTATATATTACGAAAGCAAAAGCTTTTTCTTTTCTTTATAAAATCTATTTATCTTTATGTTAAATGTTAGAAAGTTTAAAAAATTTTGCATAGTGCAATCTAGCTGTTACAATTAAAGATGTTAAGTATTTGTTTAATCTTTGTAATTTTATATGTCTCATCTATTCGCTGTCGAGTCGTCCTTTTTCTCACTCGAATGAAACAGCGAATCGATCTCAATAATAAATTCGGCCGGCAAACGGATTTCCGTGAATGCAGTTAAATGCATTCGCATTTAGCCTCCTAGAATATTCCCGGAAACTTCAGCGCCGATATAATTATAGAGCATTTTTCTTGCATGGTATTTCCATAGGTCTCTTTCAAACTCCCCGGCTAAGGGCGTAAAATAGCTCATTCCAACTGCCTTCGCGATTATTCCCTCGGTTTTCCGTTTTTTTTTTTAAGTCTGAATATAAATAAAAATTGGCAGCGTTTGCAGAAGTTTATTTAAATAAAGCATAACTGGGCAAATTGTTCAAGGGTTGGTATGATCTATTTGCACTTAAAAGTTTCGTTAAAAGTGCTGCGCTTTTACTTTTATTTTCATATTTCCTGTTAGAAAACACATTTGAAAAAATTTCATTTTTCTATATTTTTCTATATTTTATTTTTTTCGCATATAGATAAATGATTTTTGTTTAATAGTCAACGCACGAACTGAAGAACTTTGAATGCGTGATAAATGGATGTAAAGTCAAAAATATACCGGAGGGTGCAGTCAGATGCATCTGCAACGCGCCGCGACGAGAGTACTGAAGATTCGCCTCGATCTCCACATGTTCCAGAAAGATTATTTCGCTCCCTGATGCCCGACAAACGTTGCCAGCATCGAATTGCAGTTTCTTCGAATTTCCATAAGCCAGCCCGATATCGGCGCTGCAACGAGAAATGCACGCGTGTGCTGCATACATATGCGTGTGTGGATTTGGAGATACACGTTTCCCGAAATATTGAAACCGTCACACATTCTTGAAATATTGATGGACTACGTGAAGCACTAAGGGCTGTGACGTGTGTTTCAATGTACAACTAAAATTTCTAGAAATTTTTTACATTAAATAATTTCCATTTTTACTCGAGTGTAAAATATAGAAAGATAATATTATTACAAATTGTTTCTCTCCGGAAAAGAGCGTCCGTATTATTATAAATATCCATTTTCCAATGCAACACGAATGCACTTGTGCTATAATGCTTTAAGTGTGCGATTAAATTTCAAATTTTAAATTACAAACGAGAATAATTATGATAATTACCATAGAACGCGTAAGAAACGCGAATTAATGAAGCTGCCTTTATGAGTATCCCATTACTCATAGATTATGTTTTTTTTAAATGTTCATGTATGTTTGCATTTGACAATTCTTGTATCAAGAATTCCATCTATTTCTCAGAGTAGCAAATAAATTGCCCTTTCGAGAACTTACTTCGGAAAAAGTTCTCGACAATGTTCCATTTTCTCGTCCCCATCGCACCGTCGTAACGAATGAGTCGAGGACTTTTATGGTCTTGTTGAATTTAACGATGCATTTCTTATCTCGCGTTTCTTCGAGCATTCGAAAATATCTTTCCGAAAAAGAGGGCCGTCCTTCGATTGATGCGACGGGGATTACAGAATTGGGTTAAGTGGAGATTCTAAAACTTTCGATACTTGTAGATCGCGCAAAGTAAAATATATCAATCGAAATATCAATTATAATTTTAATGCTTTATTTAAATAAAGAAAAGTTTATTTTGAAAAGTGTGTGCAAATTGTTGAAATAAATATAAATTAAGAAATAAATTAAACACTCAACCGAGACTGGCAATAATTTAAGTTTAAATTGCGTTAAATTGCGCAACCACGTTCGCTTTCGTAAAGAGTAAAGGCGTTTGCTCAATTTTATGATCTGTGCTATCCGCTTTATACGTTATTCAAATCGCGTAATTAAACCACCGCTCTCTAAATTTGCTGAAACTAATTTACTTACATATATGTGTTATCCACTTTGCAAATAGTTTTCTCTGGCACCGTCGTCCAGTTGTAGCTTGCCATTACTAACGCGTACGCGTTCATAAGTCCAAAACCAAAGCGCGAGTTGAACCAAAATCCAGCTGCGTTCTTAAACCAGCCGGGGTTTTCGCTGAAAATTTATGCAATTATTAAAGCTCTTTAGAAAGAACTTAACGTTGAGCGCATGTAAAACGAGGTAAGAAGAGCGACGAGTGTCAAGGAGACAGGAAAATTGTTCTTCCTTCTTCAATTTCTTGTTAAAATTTCTATCATGATGGAAGTAAAAGGATATTCGCATCATTATCGGAATTCCTTATGATAACGACAGCGCCGGAATTTCTGAAGAGAATTATGGCATTAAAGATTAAAATTGACATCCATCGGACGAAAATAAATTATCCTTAAGCGCTAATTGTCAAATATCATTTACGTGATGCTGATGCGAATAAAATACGACTTTGTTACAATTAACAATCCTGTTAACATGAATGCAATATATTTCCGCAAAGTGATTATAATTGCTTTTATGTATAATTTACGAGGCAAGAATAGGAAGTAATTAGCACAGGATATAAATTACGAGAACGAGCAATATAACAGAGAGAGATATATAGGTATATCTGTACTGCAGAACCATCTGTGCACGCATCCCAGTAGGTTCGAGCAGTAATTTTTCTTCCGCCGCAGATGCGTGCGTGACTCTTTTTCTTTGACAACTTTCGATAAACGTCATATATACGATTGAAACCATTTTTCGGTATTAATATAAGGTAGTGGATTGACGTCGTAAAAAAACGTAACAAATAAATATGTCCAATATCCATGTTAAAGTATCAAAAATTTGTTTTAGATTTTCTGAAAAGAAAAGAAACTGATAAAGAGAAAAATTGAAAAGATTTGTAGAAATATGTTTGAAAATAATGTGAGAAATAATGTCTATGAGCGATTTAAATTATCGCCCGTCATCTTCTCGCTTCGTGGCCCTACGTGACCTTACTTGTCAATCACGGTCGATCGCACTGAGAATTATTTTTAAAAGCAGGTCGAGGAAATTCGTTTTCTGCGCATTTCACCTGAATTACATGCGAAAACGACGCCGTGACCTATTCAAATGTGGCGCTTTAAATTGACACAATTGCAAATGCACGTGATCCGAATGGCTGTTCGCAAATTGCTTACCTAAGAGGACTGTATTCCGATGACCAGGCTATAAGATGCTGAGTGTCTCTCCACGTCAAATTGTTGCTGTAAAAATAAGAAAAAATTGTTAACACAATCTTTGATTAAAATATTAATATAATTTCCTGTCAATTTTATTTTAAGTCATTACTCGAAATTTTATTAGAGCTCGATACATCGTGATCCCGGAGTGTATCAAATATTGCAAATTTTATTTGTGAAGAATAATAAGAAAAATATTTTGGTTTGAAGAAATATTTTTGTTTCAAGAATATATGTATGTTCAAATTTTATCCGTAGTATCTTTTCACGGGATATGTGCTTTCTTAAAATCACTATTTTATTTTGTTAAGATATAATTTAATATTTCAGTAGATATTTTTGTCTAAAATTTCGAGAAAATTGTGTTTTTGCATTTCTTTGATCACAAAATGACTCAGAAAACTTATAAGATAAAGTATAAAATTATTAGAAATTGAAACCAACTTTGGTGAGAAATGCAAAGTTTTGTAATAAAGATAACTCATTGTCAGATTGTTATTCCTTACAAGGTACGTGCGCAAAGTCTTTACGAAGTAATAAAAATAGATTCTTTATTTTAACATTTATGAATGTTATTTTGATACATTAATTTATTGTATATAATGGCAAAAATTGTGTAATTGCGTAAATGCTAATAGAGACAATATTGTTGTGGGAAGGAAAAGTTTCGATGAGAATCAGATATCTTTTTTTCATTGACGGTGTAACTAAAAATAAACGAAGGCGAGTCCGGCAGTAGCGTAATCAAGTTAGCGTTTCCGGGTTTCAAAGAAAAGTTTCAATGGCAAGAGATTGCTGGCAGCGTGTCCGCGTACTTTACTTGCAGTGCGAGAGCCAGGATCCCGGCGGCTAATGGAGCAGAGGCTGAAGTACCCGTGTGTCTGGTCGTGCAGGTGTTTTTTAGATCCGTTGTTGCCTACAAAGCACAAATGAAAGCTATTAAATTATTCTGCGCTCTCCAGAAGATGGATCTTGTTTCTCTCATATATTCGCGTTCATCGCTCGTTTTCAAAGGGATGTGAAAAACTGACGATAATTGTGAATGCGTCGCATGCTGAATAAAAAATGAGATTCGACTAACGTTGCTTTTAGCAAAATTTCGTAGCATTTTAATCTTATTATATTTTAATGTCGTAACAACATTTTTTCACAGCAATACATTTATACGGTACAGTATTTCAATTAATATAATTTTGGACAGACTATTGAACAATCTGAATTTTCATTAGATTCAGATTCGTCGAGCTGGCAAAATAGATAAAACATTTACTATCATCTGATCGTGATACGCGCCGCTGCTGTACGTTGTAGCGAGAGTGGCGGGACATCTTTCTCCATACCAAGGAAATCTTCCAGTTTGACTGGCTGATCCGACAGCTACGGTGTATATACTACCAACATATCCATCGCATCCGCAGTCGTCCGATTTGGAGCCACCGTTCCCAGAAGCCCACACATAAATATTACCTTTACCATTACGGCCCTGTCAAATATTCAAACATCAATATTAGCATAAACAGAGTCAAACGAAATATAATTAATTCATGAGATTTCGAAATTTTTGCATTATATATCACGTTGTATAGAGGTACTCTTGAACTTCATAAATGATTTATTGTGACAAGTTAAGAGATAAAAAAACAAGGATATGAATTATGCATAAAAGTTCCACGACATTTGAGAAAATGGATGATTATTTTGTAGGAAGATGTAGTTGTGCACAAAAGACATCGATATAAATATGTAAGCAGATCAGACCTCTCCTTTAGGCCGACGTTAGATAACACTCATTCATTTTTAAGCCCTGGAAATAATGAGAAAAGAACGCTTTATAAACGCGTCTTGCGAGTATCTCTTTAAAGAAGCTAGCGTTTACGTAGATGATATTAAAGCCAGTACATTTTCGAAATTCTATGGAATGGATCTATAAAAGCAACACACAAAGTTCACAATAGAAAACGGTGGTACGCAAAGACCCCCCGGCATGACGAAGTTTTCATATTGTAGTTACAAGATTAAATCGCCATCCAATCTCTCCTTGACACACCCTAATCCTTTTTAATTTTGATCAGACTTTCGTGCGTAAATTCTACAACCGTGAATTTATTAAACACGAAAAACAAGCTTAATTATTGCGATTATATTATAATTTACTTTACCAAGGGTTAAAATGAGCGTTTGTATATTTAATTTGCAATTATCGCGATAAGATTTTGCGCTAACAGAGTCAGCTTTGTAATAAGTGTAAAAGTGAAGAAAAAAAAAGGTGACTGAGGATTTTCTAGTGCCTGAGTTAACAAGCGCTGGATTACTGCGAGAAACGGAGTTAAGGTTTAACTGAGCTTAACTAACAATAAGCTCGGCTTAAAAGCTTGTTTAGACATTAAATGACCAGAAAATCTACTTCATTCTCATGTAAAGTCAACTCACTTGACGTAATCCTATTACAGAGATCCACTCGTACAAAACTCATACTTTTTCTCTTTCCTTTCGTAAATATCCGTAAGTAAAGAGGTGAAAAAGATCGTAAAGTACAATATTTAAATTTTACCGCACTTGTGCAAATCGATCACAAAAGCTACAATTTATAGTTTGTTTCGATCTCACGAATTTAAATTATTTGCAATTGTAAACTTCGACGAAAGGAAAAATTGATTTTAAGCCCTAAAGGGAATAACTTGATGGCGAACTGACCTCCGTTACGCCGCGCTCGAGGGCCTCGACGGCGAGTCTACCGGGTGCCTCCAAACTTTTCCCATCGTCCGCCGGTCCCCAGGAAGCCGTGTAAATGTCAATGAGTTCCGGCTTGTATCCTAGAGCCTCGCCTTCTACACGGTCGTTCACCAGGCCGTCGAGAAGCTTGATGCCACCGATGGACGCCTCGAAGGCGACACCGACGCCGCACTTTCGGTTATTGGCTTCCATCGCTATCTCACCGGCACACCTGGTGCCGTGACCGTTCATCCCTGAAGAGCAGTTGAATTTATAATACGATCGTGAAACAGTAATGTTCAATCGGATCGTTATAGTTCACCTAAAATTCACTGTGCGCAAGGGGAGTAGTCAAACGCTGAGAATATCTACGTGGAAGGTTCGAAATTTCGTTCCGTAATTTGCGCGTGTATTGCGTATTACTGGATTTTGAAATTTAAAATACAATGCACGTAATTTTATCCGGATATTCCATTGATAAAAATGCAAGTGGCGCGCTTTACGATTGGATGCGCAAGGAGGAGTCGAAACGTTTCTCGCATGGAGATGTGTTTTATAAGATTAGAAGTGGAATTATGCATTGTGCTCCCGATCTATCACGTTTTCCTTTTATAAATTTTTTGACAAATTTAAAGATGATTTTGAATAACGCTTTCATATTGAACGAATAATTACTAATTTCTATTTTATCATAAACAAAATGACAAGCAAAGTGATGTGGGTTGCATTTTGCGTAATTGTACTGCCCACACTCTACAACTACATTCAATCGATAATTATATTGTAATTTGTGAATGAATCGATTCGAGAGTGGGAGCGTCTGGTTTGATCTGGTTTCAGATCATCACGTTAACACTTTTATCAGCAGATGAATTATTTATTAGGCCTTATTGGCTGAGCTTTTGCGTCGTTGCTACATTATTCGAATGACCGGGTTGCAAATATCGATATTATGTTTCGACATTTATAGAACGAAAAATGTGATAATATTGAGGAAAAAAAGAAAAAATAAAAGCTATTATTTTTTTATATGAGCATTTTATAAAGATAATATAGTACTTGCGTCATCAAAGCACGTATAAAAATTGCAATGTATATGTATCAATTTACAAGCTATTTTTTATAAAAACTTTTGTAGCAAATACATTTTAGATTTCTTTTACACTTATTTATTCTTGCCACTCTAGTTAATTAATAAAAAACAAAATGTGAACATAGATCTGATTTTTAATACTAAGAGAAAAAATTTCAAACGTAAAGTGAAAAACAATATTATAGATTGTAATAAATCTAGACACAAACTGGATCAGGGATTCAATTAGAAAAGTGAAATAGTATTGTCACAATATACACACTCCATTTATTCTAAAGTTATTACCGTCGTCAGAAAACCTCAATCTAGTAAAATTTTCTACGAGCAAGTTTTAAACTAATTCGCGACTCGCTGCTGGTTTATAGCTTAAATGCATTACCGAATGCGCTGGACGCATTTCAATCTTCATCAATTTATCACAATTTACTCGAAGCTTTGACACGTTTGCGTGACGTAGTTTCTACAGTTTGACCGATATAGCGTAAGTACTATGTGCGTCTGTACAACAATGTAATTATAATGACGCACATGTATCGCCAGGTATTAGGTACTATTAGCAAATGTCAGATTTCATGGTTTAAGTTATAAGTATTATTGATTTCTTCTATTAAATGACTGCGCATAAGAAATGATTATGCAAAGGTGCTATTTTTCTAAATTTTATTTTATAATATTACACTATCACATTGTGTATACTTTTTTGTAAAAAAGGAAAATTTAGAAAGAATTACCTGACACGTCGTATCTTGGAAAAGGATCATCGTCGCCTTCATTTATGTCGTAACTAATAGCCGCATCCTAAGTTTAAATGTTATGATGGTAGATAAGAGTAGAATTAAATATGTATAATATTAAAACAACTCTCTATCATTTGATTCGATTTCAGTTCGAGCAATGTAATTTTTTAAAAATGTAATAAAATTCTTGATTTTATGCTAATTTTATAAAAAATATTCCTATAAATATAAGTTTTTAATAAAATTATGATAAATGCATATCGTATTGATTTAAATGCAAGTGTAATATATATAGTAACATAATAATGTATGTATATATAATATACACATAAGTATAAATATATGAATAATGTTTTGTGATTTGAAATAAACCCCTAACTTACACGTTTCGTCATCTGTAGGACGACAAAGAAGCTTCAAGCAAATATTACATACATAATTGTTCCACAGATCATCATGAGTGTATTCCAAACCATCGTCGAGAACAGCGATCCTTACTCTACGACCAGTTATCCCCAGCCGATAGAGAGGCAGGACGTTCAAATCGAGCTTCGGCAAAGCTTTATTCGTCCTTGTGTCTTGCTACGGCAGTTGATAAAGAAAATTTATCAATATTGCAAATAATAACAAAATTTGTTGTAAAATTTATATTGTTAGCTATTAGAATAATTATGGTTATATCTGTGTATTTTACATTTGCAATATAATACATTATACAAAATGTAACAGAAGAATATAATAAATTGTAAAAAATATTGATTGCAAACATACAGAGTTATCAACAATAATTTATATAACAATTTTATTATTGTTTATAAGATTCTTGCTTCTGCAATTGTTTTTATTACAGCTTTTACGAGAGAATCGTTTTTAAACTTGTTTGTTAGGTGTACTGAAATAAATCAAGTTGTCGAAATGTACGTGCTCTGAAATATATATTTATATTTAAATTATAAAATTTTACACTTCGACAAAAATATGCAGGCATTATTTTTTTGTGGACAATTGTTTTGTGAATTAAAGATTTGCAATTGCAAAGATTTGGCAAAATTATTTTCATCTTGGATTTTATTTTGTTCTCAATATTTATAATTTGGTAACAAAATGTTATTTACTAAACAACTAAAGCAAAATAGCGTGATAGTCACAAAATATTATTACCAGATACCATTCTTGATTCCAAAGCTCATCATTAAACATCTTTGTCTTATGGGCACCAGCATAATTTTCCTCCACGTTGTTAACGACATTCGATGCAGCTTCGTATGCATTTAATTGCAGACGCTTCTCCCTCGTTAGAGGTTTTTCAGACTCCAAGTCGACTAACGAGATGTAATTGCGTTTAAGTCGTTTCATGGTTTTCTGTTGATCGGCCCAGATGATCTTTTCTCGGTAAAATGCGAAATGCGTTAAGATACAAGTTGCATCTTCGTGATGCAGGTAAGGTTTGCAATATATCGCATACAACTGCAATTGTTGTTGCAGATATTTGTACTATTATTTTTTACTTGTGCATCAGAATAGTTAAAAAAGAAAATTGTTACAGAAATTAATAATATATTGAAGTATTTCGCAGTTAGAATACTTTTATTACTTAAAACCATAAATGCATAAAAGTATTACCTTGGAATTTGCATTAAGAGCCTTCGTTAAGCGAAGGTTTCCTCTTTTCTTCTGACTTGGATTATCATCTTTGAGCCATATATATGTGTCCTTGAATCCAAGAACCTGAATGAGGAGATCCATTACATGTAAATTTATCAAGAGGGCCACTGATATGCGCTGAATATTTAATGAACTTTAGACCGAATTTAGTCTTTATTTAAATCTTTGCTTAAATAAGTGTTAAAGCACGGTCTTTTATCCGTTCTATTATCATTTCGCAGTTAATCCTTTTCTCTCAGTTTTCATCAGTTTTCAGCAGTGTGGACTAATACCGCGATGTATTTCATCCATAGAATCGCAGATGAGTATCGCTTCTTTACACAAATTTTACGTTTCTCCGTCATTTTATGCATCTATTTTTCTTTCAATTACCTACATGATTTTAAAAAACTTTATTCAGCAATTAATTAAAATAAAAATTAAATTAATTATTATATGACGGACAACAACTATATATATCTATTTATTATAAATCTCCATTTGAATTAAATAAAACTACTTATTTTAAAAAGACAGAAGCAATAATAATAAATTAATATAATTATAAAATAATGTATAATTGAGACACCAAATACTTGGATTAAAATCATTTTTTGAAACGTTCGAAGCATCGCGTTCTCTATGTTGTGCGTGTCGATATAACTACCCCCCGTGAACGCTTAGGGAAAGGGTGAAGGTAGCCGTCCCGACGTTGGAGCTCTTCGTACGAGCGTAAGGGACGCTGCGATCAGGATAGCATACAAAAGTAGTTGGTAGATCGAGTGACTCGTTCGGAGGGGAACTATCGAAAATCTAAATAGGGCATCGAGTAATGTTATATTATTATCTACGGTGTAACATGCACGGTCAGTTTGGTTTCGTTTTTGTATGGCATCTGTATGTGCTGTTCCGCATGGCATATAAGCAATACGGCGGAGACAGAGCGAGGGAGACCCTCGCTCGCGTGGCAGGGGGGGACCACCTGGTAGGCAACCACCGGGTATCGTTGCAAGGGGGAAGCCCATGATGTTTCTGTAATATCACGCGCGTGCCATTTATTTCGATATACTTCCTAACTGTTCTCGTGATAACCGTTTCTTCTGATAGCCGCCGATATGCGTTAGTCAGTTTTTTTATAATCAGACTTTATTAATGTTTATATCGTAGACTCGTTTGCGTGCTATTGTGTCAATATTTTGCATTATATGTATGTCCGTTGTACACTATTTTTGGTTCGACAATTTAATAACAAAGTGCAAACATAAGCAGCAAAATTAATTGACACATTATAGACAAGTAACAATTTTGAATAAATTAAGTTTAAAATGCTATGTGCATAATTTTTTTATTGTTGTTCTTGATGCATTTTTGCGTAATATTGTTCAGCTTTATTTTTAATATTGAATTTGTATTTTGCACATGTTATGTTGCTTTTTGTCATAATTTTGAAAGTCAGTTGATCGTTGCTATTAGTAAAAAGTAGCGTAATTTTATTAATTGCGATAATAGTGTCTTTCGAGCATTATGCTTTTTGCAAATGTACAAATGCTATTAAATGCGATCAAGTTCTGCGATCCAAGGAGAGATTCAGGGCATTAGGATTATAAAACAATAATCCTTTTGTCTGCTATCCCCTCAATTCCATACCAAACGTGCGCAAAAATCCTTTAATCCACTATCCATCATATCCGCTATGCATCCAGTTGGAAGGAATAAATTTGATCATCAAAATGCTTCGCTGAACTCGCTGATAAACTACTGTATATCCGGTGCGATACACTTTTCAATAGAACGGCGCATAAATGTTGCATGTTTGCGTATTCGCGATCACGTATGCCATGCATGCTGCGTTAACCATTTAGGATTTTACATTGCAATTCACGAATTGATGGCAAATTCTTCTACTTCCTGCGAACTAGATTTATAAATGCAGTGTTATAAAATTTAATGCCGTTATATGCAAATATATGGAAGAAGTTGTCGGAATAACAATTTGCTAACATTTTTCCGAGTTATCTATAAGAGAAGGTGAAAAAGTAAAGGGACATTTTCAATTGATTGGGAAATAAAAGTTCTTACTTTTTGACATTTTCTAGTAATTAAATAAAGAAAAGAAAGTAAAAGCATTACATATATGTATCGTAACGCTGTATTAAATTATGAGTTTTAATCTTTAAAACAATTTGCGTTAATTGTAGTATTTTCTTATTTTTATCTCTATAATTTGTTAATATTTGCTACATAAAATTGATAAAAAAATTGACATTATTTGATAATTTTGTAATAAAGTGAAGTCTGAGTGTAATATATCAAGACTAAATTTTAACGTAACTTTTAAGGCAATTAATAACAAAATTTCGAAGTAACTTCAACTTTGTTGGTATACGTGTTCTATCGTAAAAGGATTAATTTAAAAGAAATCTTGCGGTTCTCTCTCTCTCAATATAGTTTCCGCAAACTTTCCTATTATAGAATTCTTAGGAAGTTTTCGATCGGCACGTGAGAGTTTCCTACCCTTTTGTCGAGTGACGATTTCAAGGTCGTCGCTTTTAACGGAGAATAGCGTTGGCGAGATAGAGCACGTGCTTTTTAGATGTCACACGGGAGCTTCTCTTAAATTCCACGTGGGAACACTTCAAACTCGAATTCGTCGACTACGTGATAATGGTTCTTCTCTTTCGCTCTCTCTCTCTGTCTCTCTCTGTCTCTCTCTGTCTCTCTCTCTCTCTTTCTCTCTCTCCCCCCCCCTCTCTCTCTGGCCCGGTTGTAATCGGCAAGCACTGGTGGTCGAAGTACCCTGAGATCTACACCGCGAGGTGCACGAACGTGAGAAGTGCACGTAGAGGAAAATCGGAGACGGTCATTACTTCGCGATCAGCGAGCGACGAGGCGAATATTATGGTTATTACCGAGTATTATCGCATGATATCGCAATGTTAATCCGATGTACGCAAAATGAGTTTTCGTAGTAACGTTAAACTGAGAATGAGCACGCAGTTTTCTTTCCACGTAAGCCGAGACAGCCTATTTCTACGTTTACATTTTGTTTTATTTTATTTTTTTTTAGAGAATATAATAATTAAAAAATATATATAAGCAAAATATCCTAAACTAATGGTAAAGTAAACATAGCTTTCTTTCTTGTTAAATTTATAGCAGATTTTTGTTAAAAGCTGTAAGTTTACTGAAAATAAATAGCAATTAATTTTTTCAGACAAATAATGAAATATTCTTTATTGTCTTTTTGAAGGTTTGCTTTTGAGGAACATTTTTCGATACTCTTTTAGTAGAAGGAAAAATATTGACTTTGAATTTCACAGGAAAATCTTACTTTTCACATTCTTTGTTTATTTGTCATCAGTTTTGGGTAAGCATATTTTGTATAAAAAGAATACTAATTTTTTTCACTGTTAATATATAAACAATCGATGTAAGTTTTAAATTGCGTTTTTAATTTTGTATTGTTGCATTATACTATCCTGTTATTGCACAGCTAATATTCGCCGATTGGTAAAGTTTCGTTCAACTATATCATGCCTGACTTCCTCGCCATTTAACGATTCCTTGGCACGAACTCTGGAAAAGATATTATGCCACTCTTACCGCGTCCTGTACATTTCCCACCCAATCGTCTTAAGTTTATGCAAAGGCATTTTGGAGGCATCATCGACGATGGCGTTTTTCGCATGTTCTTCTGTGAAGCATTTCCGTGCTCGTAAAAGGGAGATGGGACAGATAAAGGCGAGAAATCAGAACCGATCATTATTTTCCGATCAGCGGACGATCAGTCTTTTCATTATTCAGATTGCGTCTTTCGACTATTAGGGACGACGCGCGCTTTGTATTCGGTATAGATACAGGAAAATCTGCGCATCGACGGTTCAAGTCGCTTGTAATCCCCTTCGGGTGCGAGTAAAGATGAGAGAAACGAGAGGAAAGAGAGTAAAGAGAGGGTAAAGGAGAGAGAGAGAGAGAGAAAGAGGGGAGGGGGGGAGGAGGGCGAAGTATTTCGCAGTCCATTTGTTTGATCGGATTTCCAACTGTCTCTCGTAATCCCGCACCCGTAAGCTCCCGCAGGCGTCGTCAGTTTCCAATGAAAACCCTAACGTCTCTATCCTCTTCTCCCTATTCGGCCTTGCCCGTTCTGCAGCAACCCTCGTAGTTGTTCCCCGACCACACCTTTTTCTTGGATTTTTGTGAGCATTCCCCGCGTTCTCCATGTATTCTTTGTACGCGAGTACTTGTGTGCATACATGCATGTATATATTTATACATGGGCGTTTTAGATATCGCGTGTTCGCCTCCAACTTTATGGACTGTTTCAAACTTAACCGAAGCCTACTCTTTGAACACCATGAACTTGATAATACAAAAATAAAAACTGAAGGAACACTTAATAAATTATGAAACACAAAAATAAAGTGTAACAAAATTGTAAAAAAAGATGGGAAATTTAAAATTAATTAGAGAATATGGGCGATTACTCTTGGACAATCTACGTTATATATGCTAAAGATTTATCTAATAAAATTGCAAATAGTCTTGATGCTAAGATATTAATAATTTCCGAGTTAAAGTTAAAAATACTAGAAAGTACAAATAAATATAAAATCTCTTTTTCACATAATTTTAAATTTTACTTTACATGCAAAAATTTTAAACTTGAAGCTTACTTTTGCTAAGATATTTAATATAAAAAATTCAAAAGTTGTGCGAGGAAAGATTGTGTCCAATCAAACTTTATCTAAGAAAAAATCGATTTCAAGTTTGCTAAAGTACCCGCCCGAAAGTACAGAGAAAGTGCGCAATTCAAAGTGTTCGAGTCTATTATATTGCTATAAAGCTCACAGAAGTTGTGTTAGTAGGTTTTATAAATTATCAATTTATGTATAATATACATACATTCACAATTTTCATTGCGTAGCATTGAAATCTTATAATTTAAACAAAGAAATGATCTAGAATGTTAAAATGTACATTTTATTCATTTTTATATCTTATAATGTTAGATTAGGTAGTTACATATGAAAATGTATAAATGTACATAATTCTAGATCATTTCTTTCTTTAAAATATAAGCTTTAATGCATTGCAATAAAGACCTAGGCCTGCTAAAAATGATATGATATAAGATTTTAAAGCATAAAAATAAATAAAATGTATTAATATTAAAATGACAATTCGCACTTTTGCAAAAATTTAAAGAAATATTAAATTTATTGAGATAATTAATTAAAACATATATGTATGTATGTTGAAATTATATTGAATGTTATTTTCTCAAAACTCTTATTTTTAGAATTTTAGTTTCTAAATTCTATTTTTTTTTATAATTTACACCTACATATGACATTTTTTCTATATATGTTTATAATTTCTTTTTATATATGTATAACTTATTTAATTTTGTAATTATATTATTTGAAAATAATAAATTGCTTGTATGAAATTTGATATTTAATAAAAATAGAAGGAAAGTCAATTTTTATTTTTATTTGCTTATTTGTATGTTACAGGCAAGAATGCGACTGTCAAAGCATTATTCTTCGCAATTACATAGCGAATAAGGCAAGAAAAAGGTAACAAATGGTATATCAGTGTTTTATATAATTTTATATAATGAATAAATTTACTCACCGGTCGTTGTACCTTAGCTAAATATGTTTTCACAGCTATACAAATCAATACATATTTTAGTTATTGTTATGAATTATCAATCATTTTATATATGTTGATTATTGTTATTTAATTATTTCCATTTAAAACATAATTATGTGCAAGAAATTGTGTAAATAATTATTTGAAAATTGTAATAAATATATTTAATAAATAAATTAAACAAAATATTTAAAAAAACTTTTTTTCCAAATCATCTTAATAAATATTTAATAAACATGTAGTTGTGCAAATTATATATGTATATTATCACAAATATTTAAGTAATAAACAAATTGTTATAATCACCAGCTATGGTATTGTAGTTTACTTCAGATTCTGCTGGAGATTTCGCCTTAGACCGCATCGCATCAGCTCCGTCGAAGAATTGATGAATAATTTAGATTTATTCTGTTGCACCAAAAATTTAGATTTATTCTATTGCACTCACTACTACTATCGTCTTTAGGTTAACTCGCGCACTTCACTTTCACAAATCACAGATTCACGTAACGAGTTTACCGCAATACACGAAATGTAAACGTGAGATAAAACGTATGTGCCGCAACACATCTACGCACATAATTTTAGTCGACACTGCACATGCTTTCCAAGCGAGCGATACGAACGATTGTTTTAGCGGTTACGCAGAAGTCATCAGGTACGAACATACAAACAATAACAACCATGTTTCATCCGATTCAATTTCAACGAGTTGAATATTTAACACGATATATTTAATGAAAGGTATACCGCGGTTCAATCCTCTTGAATAAACGTAAAAAATTTTCGCATTTGCAGCATCAAAATCTATATTATAACCCATTTGAGTTCACGGCCGCCAGACGATAGACGAAACAGCGTTAATGGTGAGTATATTAATGAATAATATGTTCCAAAAAACGCCCGGAAACTTTAATCGGCAATCCCGATATAAATTTGCACTTTTAATTGTTTCAATACAAAAAAAATTTGCAATTAATTGCACAACATTCGCGATCAATCAATGCCAGGAGAAACTCACGATGGTCGGTAAAATAGTAGCATATTTATACCAACATTTGCAAAAAGATTGATGTCGCGATAAATTCGACGTTATGCGCGCTATCTTTGGGCTTTACATGATATCAGAATGCAAATGAGGCCCTAAGCGACGCCTGTCAACCCCTCCCTTCCATTTTGGCGGGACCGCGCTTGCTTCGAGGCTTTACTGGCCGCCATGACATCTTCAATGCTTCAGTTTGCTCTGTCATAGTGTAATGTGTAGAAAGTGAAAGTTCGGAGTTCCATAATTAATCGTGCGTTAACATACATAATAAGTACGAATTTTTGTCGGGAGTGCCGATTCAAGTACCGGGAGATTGCTGGAATGTATTGTTGTTACCGCATGTGTACATAATTAACGGTGTTTTGTCGATCAACTTTTGTATTACATCGGTGCGTGGTTACTGCGAATGTAGTGAGTAGTCCAATGTTCATTACGCGCGAAAATAATCTCGATGTTTGCTCAAGAGCATCAAACGCGGTTTACTTTTTATTAGATATAATATGTGTTGAAAATTTTTATCATCGGAATGTAAATCCCGTAAAACGTAGTTACATGCGTATCTGCATCTAGTAATCATTCCAAGATCGCTAAAATTGTTGCCATTCGGTTTATGATATACAGAAGAACGTAAATAATAAGAATTAAACAAATAGACCGATCACAATTGAATTTCTTCTAAATGATAGTCGGTTTATTGCTTGAATCTTATATATTTATGTATAGTTTTTGTGTATCATAACTTTTCATTTCGTTCGTTCGGAATGCTCGCACGGTATTGAAAAAATCGTCGAATGTATTGTACCGCGCGTAAATTTGCGACATATATCCGTAATTTTTGAAAATGAAGTACCGCGAGTTAATCTATCTTCGGTAGTACGTGTGTTTAAGTGCATAAGTGTAAATTTGTGGTGAATCCATCATAGAATTTATTAATTCTGATGTAAAGCAGTTTAAAGCGGAATCAACAGCAGATGAAGCAGCAGATTTTTAAACTTTAATACTCTAGCTGGTGAGCACAATAGTTTTCTTTTTGTTTATTATTTAAATAGATAACTGTGATATTATATACCTACATGTATAATTAAATTGAATAATATATGAAAATCATCATTCAGAAAATGTATGCTAATTAATAATAATTAAAATATATATAAATTTCTTCAGGTATAATTGACGGTATTTAGCTAGAGTACAACTACCGGTGAGTAAATTTATTTATTATAATTGTGTAATTACAAAACACTGATAAAAAATTGACAATACTGATAAAAACTGATAATTACAAAAAAAAAAACACACTGAAACATTTTCACTGACAGAATTGTCTTGTTGTAAGAAAAAGGTAAAGAATTTTAAGTTATATTACACAAGATTTTAAGATTTGTTTTTTACTTTAATTAATTTTAATAGCATAAATATGATATGATTTACATGATAGTAATCATATTTTATGCAAAATTTGTGTTTTTTGATATAAAATTGAAACATTGAACATATTAAAAACTGTTTCTGTTTTTAATTTTGTTTATGTGAATATATGGGAAATCTCGTTTTTTTAGTTTGATTGTCAAACGATTTTTTCTCTCTAGCCTCTATATGTATGTACATATCAGACGTTTGATACACTCTTGCATGGAAAAAGTAATTTGATTGCAGCTTCTTATTTTGACATAATACTTTTGCGGTATAGCAAGAAACTTTTTTCGCGCTTAACATTTGGAGGTTTTATTACCATGTCCTTTTCGTATTCGCGCACAAACGTTTCTTTGCGAGACCAAAGAGAAATTTATTACTTTTCTAATTAAAGAAAAATATAGTAAAAACATTTATTATAAGATAAAAACAAATATGTTCTACATTCTAATATTTATAACAAAATTTATATTTATATCGTTTTGTTTTTATATTAATATTTGCAATACATTTATAAAATATTTAATTATAAAATATAATTTATTTCCAATTTTTATTACATTAATAAGCTGCATAAGTAATATGCAATGTGCATTATTTAAAACATGTATTTCTTTAATATTTATGATATTTAAAATTAAAAAAGAAATTTAAGCTAATGCAAGTTAATGCTATTGTTATTTTACAAAGCTGTTTGTGCTACAATTTTTATTTTTTTTTTAATGGCATTTTACGTTGAATCTTTAGATTGCAGTAGCATTTTTCTCGTTATAATTGAATATATCAGTTGAGTGGCAGCCCATGACATTTTGGTATACGTGTTACTTAGGATTACGCGATGTCTGGCATTTGCGGACTGCAAATTCAATTACATGCATTGAATTCAGTAGAGGGTAGAAGTTCTCGCCGCTCTGCGTGCACAAGTTCACGTGCAGGTTCCCAAACTGGCAGAACTCACACTTTAGGCAAGCGCTTATACAGCTGTGGTGATATGTAGCAGTAAACACGTAAACTGACAATGATACCGTAAACTTAGTTATGCATGCACAAACAGACAGACCACATTGTTGTCGTAAATATCTTTGCAATTTAATATTTAGAACAGTGGACGCGAATGGGCGCGGATTAACTTTTCTTTAATTCTTTTATTAAAATCGAGTTTTTATCGATTTATTTTTTATTTTAAAGTTCGATAAATTAGTATTAATCTTGTTTTTTATTGACAGTTTTATCGACGCAGAATGCGTTAATTTGATATTAATTAAACATTGAGCATTCTGAAAAACAGTGTCTATCTGGAAATTGTCATCTTTATCTTTTTATTAGTTTTCCAAAACTAAAGAATATCTTGTTGAGAGTTTTGAGTTAAGCATTTCGAAGTGTAGCGTTAAGAAACTGAAGAGGCAGGGAAAGTATCAAACTTGGCAATCTTTGTAATAGCTGGACTGTAGCAGGCATGTATATAAGCAAGGAGAAATTGCATTAATGCGTCCGACCTTTGAAACTTCATCGTCCCGAAGTCGATGTCAAAGTTAAAGTTTTAATTGAAATCAACGCTATAACCAGCATCACGTGAATTTGATCAAAGAGCTCCAACTAGTTTCATGCAGTCGATCTCACTCGACTGTTTTGAACCGATTAACGTTATATTGATTATAGATTCAATCTTATCCCTGAAACAAACTATCATATACCCAATAACTACATACACTGGTAACACGGAAGTGTTTCTATGTCTTACAAGAGCATTGAAGTAACAATATTTACAGAACTTTAACAAGCACATCATGACTGGTCACGTAGAAATTTTGCAGTAATATCATTAATAAAAATTGTTCTATGTATAATAAATGTTAAAGAGAGAGAGAGAGAAGCACTGTTTTTTCTAAATCTTTTATATAAGAATTGCTCATATAGAAAAATGTATAAATCTATAAAATATAAAATTATAAAATTTATTGCAAATATAAATTAATGCAATGCATTAATTTTGGCAAAATTTTTGGAATTAGGCCTACGTGTTTTTTAGACAGATATTGTTTAGATATTGTTTTCAGTATTTTATATATGTATATGAAATTTTATAATATTTAAGAAGCTTAAAAAAGTTGAAAAGTAAATGCAAAAATTGAAACATTTAAAAAATTCTGTAACTAATTATGCGTGTACATATATATTAGATCTTGATGTATCCAAATTACAATACAATATATAAATTGCATTATATAAATTAGAAAATTGCAAAATTAAATGACGGTTCATGCTATAAACTATCAAGTATTTATTAACGTTGGTCAGATTGGCGTGGGTCGACTCACTTTGAGATTAATCTTTATTATAAGGTCGAAGGGAGAAAGCTAACGAAGGCAAGCTCCGAACAGCAAATCGCTGTGACATCTGTCAACCGACATAACAGGAAGTTTATTATGGTGTTTAGTAGGGTGTCGAGTTATTTGTTCCAATTATTGCCAAACGCTGAATCAGTGAAATATTATGTCGGTAGTTCCCGATAATTTATGTACATACATCATTAATACTTCTGCTGAAGAAATCGTCTAAAAATAATAGCATTACGTACAATCTGTAAATAACAAGTTCGTTTATGCCTGATAAGTACTTTTTTCAAGACATTTGTGGAAATAATTGTTATATAATTTTTAATCTGATAAGTTTTGAATGAAACTGAATGAATTTTGCAAAATGCAATTTTTGGATATGTATGTATCTTTTAGATTTTGTATGATTTCTATAATTTTTGCATTTTTTATAAAAAAAAAGATGTACAAGAAAGGTAAAAAATTGTTTCTTCGCAGTATCTACATCGAGAGCGTCGTTGCTACAGGTTTTATGAATAAAACATTAGCAAATGTTCACAATATTGGATATGAATATGGATATAGAAATTACTTTACCGAAGTCGATTTAACATGCCAGTAACGCTTCTTATGTTTGAAGAGAATATTAAAAATTTAAAGATATATTTATATTTAATGGCAAATTAATAATTTTTTGACTAATTAACTTTAAACGTACCCGAAAAAAATGGTATAATTGGTCAGATGTAAATATATATAATTAGTTATGAAAAGATCTAATACCATATGTAATTTTATATGATCATATAAAATATTACATGTTATTAGATCTTTTCATAACTAATTATACATATTTACATCTGACCATATTAGACCATTTTTTCTCGGGTATATAAAATTTATATAATATTAAGTATTGGAACTATTCTTTCAAACATTGAACATTTTACATATACATATATGTAGAATTTTACAATTTACAGTAAATATTAAAAATTTTTAAATATGTATATATTATTTATAGAGCATTTATACTTAAAAAACACTTAAAATAGTTATATCAATTGAAACAGATGTTGCTGACAATTTACTTAGACGACAATATCCTTGTCACCGTAGCATCGACAGCTGCTGTATTCGCTCTCTGAAATAAAGAAGCGATTTCTGTCTGCCGGCAGGAAAATTAATGTTGGGAAATTCATTCCGACAGTTCTGTAATAGATTCTCGATAACCGAATTCCAATTTGCCCGAAGGCCTGGACTTGATTGAGCAATTTCGGCCCTTTATAATAGAATACTATGCGTAAGATGTACGAAGCAAGCAAGCCGTAGAAATTTCTGAAGCTTCTCAGCTAGTCGCTCATTGACTGAATATTATAGTTGCGTGTTATATATTTTGATAATTCTTTGTAAAATGCCACCTAATCGCTTTAATGCATGCATACTGTTGCCATTGTTAATTAGCGCGCTAATATATGTATGTAAAATTCGATCAATTGTGTTTAGGCAATTATATGTACCGTCAATAATGAGCTAAGCAAAATATCTATTATAAAAATAGACTAAGCGAGCACATTATTTAAAAAAATATATTTGCATAATATAAGTGATACTCGCGTACAACTTGCAATGCTAACTCTGAATGTATAAATGGTCGTATATTAGTCGTAATTTATTATCTTCATCGAAGAACGATGGTCGGAAGGATCCCGTCTTTACCTTACGTTTCGCTGCTAAATTGGCAGTGCCAAGTCTCATACCCTCACAATCAGTCACGCCTCCTTCTGTCGCTGTTACGCACAAAATAGTGCGACCATGACAGTTCGTACACTCTACTGTGACAAACGATATTATATTCGTTTTTGGGATTGAGAAATTTTTATTTGATAGAAATAAGTGTAATAAGATGACAGAAATATCTTGCTACGTAAACTCGTACGTTATTTTTAGTGATCCATAAGTGCGTGAAATTACAAGCAGAGACTTAGTATAAAAATAATCGTAAATGTGATGTGTCTTCACAAAATTATACTTTGATGAGAAAGACATTACATGTGATCTCTACTACACGCTATTGTCGTTTCCCATTGGATCATAGTACAACGATAACATCTTTTACAAATGCGTTGAACACGTTACTGCGAATTGTAGGTCCATTCGATTCACCCTCTCGTTCGTGTGAATTGTGTAATATATTTGATTGTTCAATGGTGTGCGGTGACGCAATAATGTGTAGCCGTGAACCACAAATTTTTAGATACCCTGTAAGTTACGACGACTTTACGTATGCAATTAAGTCAACATCGCTCTCTGGGGAGCATTCATTATTTTTTCATCTGGTGTGTCAACGCCGACATGTCGCGCCGACATGCGTTAATCGCGTATTCTTGGTCGCCGCCAAGTGGGCTTAATTATATGAAATAATTACATCGGTGCCACACTGGATATATGCACTTACAGACTGTCTAAGGAC